CCCAGCTGCACCCATTTGTGTGATAGGGGTATGCAGTCACAACGTAACAAAAATTAACCATAGCTCACTTGGAAAAAGTAATATGCTTACAGTTAGCCTACAATAATAGCTGACTGTCAGTGAGAAATGCAGGGCTCATTCTGGACACATCTCAGAGGCTCTGGAAGAGGTACCTGCCACTCTTCCAAGTTGCAGGTGGCCCCTGCAGGAGACCCCAACCTAATTCCCTGACTCGGTTGGTTTCTTCCTCCCATACCTGTCACAAAATGAATGCTGCTGAATCCTCACCTCACAAGCCCTTCCTCTCAGCTCCCTTCCTTTCCAAGCCTTCAGTGTCATCATTTTGGAAGCTGGAAGTTGAGGCTGCATAATATGCAGAAGTTCTAACTAAGTCTGCGTGTAGGTTGCTGCTATACTGGTGGGGACAGAAGCGTTAATGCAAATCCAAACCCCTGAACTTGAGATCCCCTCGCAAACTTAGCGATTCTGACTGTTCACTAAGATGATGCTTCTAAGACAGGATATGAGATTACATAAACAGAATTTAAATAGAAATCTCGTGGACGATTAAGAAATTAAGAGCAAGCAAGTCCTACTTGAAATCACATACGTTTCCTCTGGAACAGCTGAAATTTCCCTACATACAGAACAAAAGAGTTATTTATAGCAAACTGATCACCTTGATAAAATTCATGGCCCTGTTACTATGCAGGTCAACAACTTTTTACAATACTTTTTTTGGGAGTTTCCTGTGCTTCAGGCACTACACATAAGCATTTGTTCATTCAACCTGAGGGGCTGTCCTGCAAGGCAGGAAATATCACCATCTACGCAAGTCAACAGAGAAACAGAGGCTGGAATGCACTAAGCCAATTGCCCACAGCAAGATCTGCATTTGGAAGAAAATGATGAAAAAAAAAAAAAAAAGAACAACAACAACAAAGGGAAGCCCTCTCATCTCCCAGAAACAAGGCACAGTTCTGAGTGTGAGGGCAAATCAGGGCTTACCGTGCCTGCCATGAAGCTGTCGGTTCCCCCTTCGTTCCTTCCATATCCTGTCCAATACAAAGCACAGCAAGGGCTGGAAGGGAGAGCAGCCAGTTGCACAATCTCCCCAGCTCCGCAGCTGAGACAAAGTAACTCCCTTCCACTGTCTGTTACACCAGAGTTTTCACAGAATGCCCAGAGCCCTTTACACCTGGGTCCCAGCACCAGCCTCTGATAACACATCAAAGCAAAACAAAAGCAAAGATTGAGCACAGTATCCTTTAATCTCATTAGGGAAATAGGTAGTCAAGACAGGTCATTCCTTTGTCTGGTTGAGAAGTTCAGGAGGAGAGTCTTACCCTGATATTCAGACCACCATGGATTCTGTGACTACTTTCAAACTACTTAAGAATTTCAAATCCTACTCACATGCCTGTTGACCCAGGGGACCCCAGACCTTCTCAGGATCAGACAGCAGTTTAGTGCCTTATCTGGTACAGAAGGGTGTCTCCAGGTCTCCACCTGCTGCCTGCGGGTGGTTTGTTAGAACTTTGTCAAAGTTCTCCAGAGACTTACCATGACCTTTATAGGTCACCAAAAGTTCACAGTGCTGCAGTGCAGGCTCTGGGCGGCACTCTGCACTCCAGATTGTTTTCAGGACAACAGGACCACTGGTGGTAGGGCTTAATCACTTAAGGAACCATCAATAAACTCTTCACAACCCCACATCACTCCCAACTCAACAGTGTTGAAGATCTATTTACTTTTATTGGAAAGGCACATTTACAGAGAGACAAAGATCTTCTATCCACTCCCTAAATGGCTGCAATGGTCAGAGCTAAGTTGAGCCATCCAGGAACTTCTTCCAGGTCTCCCATGTGGGTGCAGGGTCCCAAACCTTTGGGTCATCCTCCACTGCTTTCCTGGGTCACAAGCAAGGAGCTGGAAGGGAAGCGGAACAGCCAGGACAAAAAGGAGTGCCCAATACGGATTACCAGGGCTTGCAGGCAGAGGATTGGCCAACTGAGTTGTCACATCAGCCTCCCAACTTATCAGGTCTGAACTGCCTGTTACATGTCTTACTTTCTCATGGGACCCTGGAGACACTGGAGTTTTCCCGCTTCCTCTTCAGACCTTCCACCAACCAGGGCCCTGCGGTCTTTAACTAAGACCAGCTTATTGAGAAATTTTAAGCTGTTGCCAGTACTTACTTTTCCTCTAGACATGCATCCCTGAGGCAGGAAGAGGTAGCTATCTCTCAAAGTAGGTGCCAAAAGAAAACACAAAACCCCTGCTGTCACAGATCTCACATGCTGGGAGACAAACATGGCTCAACACATCAAACGAAAGAGGCTGGAAGTGCACGACACACAGAGTGAAACAGGTGGCCTCTCCGAGCCATCTTTCTTCCCTTTCCTTTTTGAACAACCGCACTAGAAGCAGGTGAAAATGAAACAGGAGAGTCTGAATCTGAGAGAGGCCTGGCTGAGCATCGGGGATACTTCATGATACAACTCAGACACACACCCGGGTAAGAAGCACTGTGTGTCCGCCCAGCTCTTCTGGCTGCTCCAGGAGACACGTGTGGGAGCTGCAGTGAGACCATCATTCTGCACAAGCAACAGCAAACGTTCAGAGAGGCCAAACGATTTGCCTCAAGTCACAGAGCTGACCTTCTAAGACAACCAGCAGGTAAAACCAGGCGGTTGGCTCAAGGCATGGTCGCATTGTCTTCAACACACACTCTCACTAAGGACACACTATTTAATAAAAAGGGGACCACTACCCTGAACTGACTTGATACCAGAGGGGCACACGGCAAACTGGGAAAGCATGGAGAGTAGCACAGGCTGGGCCCTTTCTACTCCACCAAACACTGGCCTGTGAGTCCATCCCATCCCAGGGCACCTGACTTCTGGGTTTGCACTTAAAAAAGACCTGCAAACATCGGGCTGGGGTGCTAGGAGCCAGCATTTTAGGACATCTGTCTTTCTTAAAACAGAAAAAAAAAAAAATAGCAGATCTGAGAGTGTGACTGGCATCTCCTTGCGGCCTGCCTCCTTCCGGTAGGGTATCTCCAGGCACTCGGAGCTGGCCGCAGGGCTAGGGAGAGTTGTCGCCCCCCTTCTCCTTCTCCAGGGCACCCAGGGCCTCTCCCCTCTCCCCTGTAACCTCACTTGGTCAGGGTCCTGAGCCATGCCTGCCTCATCCTAGAACCTTAGGTCTGTGACAGTGGCACTCAGGTCTACTTCATCCAACACCACCTCAGTCTGTAACCCAAGGGCAGCACGAACAGGCTTCCATAACTACACGAAATAAAAGCCCCCCTCCCCCCTCGGCTGGACATCCAAAAACGGGGCTCCCCTTTTAGACTTTCATTCCCAAAGTGGCACTGACCATTTTCTCCTCAATAAGAAATTACAGAGAATGTTGTAGGATTCTAAATAATTACTATAAAGAATCCAGGATGTGTAATAAACATCCCCTCCTTCCCCCATTTATTTTTTTGTAACATCTCTTTCTGCTATATCCCCTCTTTCCTCTCACTCTTGGTGAGTCCTTGTCACACGAGCTCCCTATGCAAACTTACGATGGACAAGCCTGTTTTATCAGCTGTTTAACCACATCTTCTTGCTGTATTTCCCTTGACACAAACAGAACAGTTAAACCTGTATCAGAACTTACTCCACTGTGGATTTTTATCACATTTACAGAAACATGCGGTCCGATGAGCCTGGGAAGGAACGGACAAAGGTGTGAAGCCTGGTAGACAAGGCGTTGTTTACAGCCCTGCCGGCAGCGTTTATTAACTGGCATGAGCTTTCAAGGAAGCCGTGGCTGACACGCCAAGTTCCATCGGCACTTCCAAGTGGACAAAATAGGCACACTCGGCTAAGTAATTGGATTCGCTACCTGGAATATTTAAATTGTTTTTAGACACTGGAAATTGGCTTAAGAGGATTAAAAATACCCTGAAGGATAACAGGCTGTAATTTACTAGGTAGAAAAACCCTTTCAGCAAGAACACCTCACTCTGCTGTAATTCTTTCTGATTTGGAGCCATATTAGTCATTTGGACCTAAATTTCTTTTCAGTTCTGGCACCTCGGGGCTACTGTGGCGGTCGTTCTTATGAAGCCTTCTGAATGACACCTGCATCCCTTGGTGACGCTCTCAGGCCAGTGCCTGTTGGAAGGCAAGAACAGGCCATCCAAAGTCCTAGGGTCTGGTGACCCCCGGGGCCTGAGGCAGCCTGCAGCCCACCTGCCAGAAGGTGCAGCTAAACCATGTGGTGAAGTGTTATGTGCCTGTGGCAAATGAACCAGTTCTCCCCAAACTCACCGTCTCAGCCTCCGGTCAGGCCCACGAGGCCATCCTGAACCCAGCAAGCCCCCTCTCCCTCTCCCAGCTTCTGCTCCCTGACCCCCCAGGTGTATTTTCCTCTGCCACTCCAGGCCCCTCATTCTGGAGCCAGGCGCTTAAGTTTGGCATCAGCGACCACCTGTCGGCTGGACCGCCGCATCCTCGGCCGCGTGGGTTCCCACGGAAAGGCTGGAGGATCAAGAGACATCTACACTCTGTGGACTCGAGGGCGGAACGTTTCTGAAATCCAGCCACACAGATACCAAAGGCTGCGACCGCAGGAGAGGGCGCGTCTTGTTCACACCCGGCGCTTTCCAGCTGGACCCAACTTCACACTCCTCACTTTGCAAACTCTGAGCACCAGGCAGCCGGCAAAGCCTGTCCTGTCCCGCTGGCCTGAGAGATTCGAGACCTTCCGCGGGTGCCTGCCAGCCTCAGCAAGGATGTCAGCTACTAAACACGGAGGACCGAGAAGCGCGCGCAAAGCTCCTGTCCCCCTGCCATCGCTTCCACAGATGCCAACCTGTGCGCCCCCAGGCCGTCCCTGCCCGCGCGCCCATTGCATAACGCGCCCCCTCGCCCCACCCCCACGCCACCCGCCCTGCCCGGTGCCCCGGCCCTCGTCCCAAGCCGGGCCGCCCCATTACTTACATCATCCCACTTGACGAATTTGATGCCTTTCTTGAGGCTCTCGGACACGCACACGGGCTTGAGTTGCAAGGCGTGCACTCCAGGTTGAGCCCCGGCCATCTGGGTTCATCGGGGCTCCGGGCGGCCCGGGCGAGCGCGGCAGGGAAGGGGCTCGGAGCGCGGGGCGCCGGGCGCGGGCTGCTTTTCTCGGTTCTGGAGCAGCTCGACTCCTCTCCCTCAGCCGGCCTCCCCGGGCCTCTTGGCCTCCGCACCACCCTCCGGCGCCGCTTCAGCAGGCGGGGCGCGCGGGGGCGCAGCGCCGGGCCATGCCCCGGGCGGGACACGGGGTCGGGAGCCCTGGGTGGATCCGAGCCTCACGAGGCAGGGAAGCCGAGCTGTGCGGCCGAGGTTGGCAGCCTCCGTTGGATCCTGCTCCGCCGCCGCCGCCGCCTCCTCAAAGCCTACCATTCAGCACATCGTCTATACACAGAGCGAGCGAGCGAGTGACACACGCTCGGCGCCCCCCCTCCTTTCTCCTTCCCCTCCTCCCTCCGCCTCCCGCCCCCCCTTTCTCCGCCACCCTTGCTCGAACGGTCCTTCCTTCCCCCCGCGGCTCCCAGCCCAACTTTGCGCGCTGGGTCAGGCGCCGGGAAGCGGGGACGCAGCGGCACCTCCCGGCTCCCCGGCCCCACTGCAGCCAACGCCTGCGCCTCCGCGCGCCCTCTGAGCATGCCCCGTGCCCGGGTCGCAGGGGTGCCAGGGAGGCCCGAGAACCGCGGGGACCTGGGTGAGGGGGAGTGGGGGTTCTGCGGCACTTGGCCCTGAAGTGGATGGGAAATGGGGACCCACAGCTTTTCTCTCTTCCTGGAGCCCTCCAGCGCCAGGCACAAACCAGCTTTTCGCAAAGAGAAGGGTTATTTAATAGCAGACCAGAGAACAGCTGAGAGGCGTGGAGCGTGAGCTGTTTGGAGAACCTGAGCGCACCTGAGGATTCGCAGCACGGTCCTGACGCTGGAGCAAACGGGACTTGAAATAAAAGAAGGCTTATTTCCCAAAGAGGAAAAAGCAGGTTCCTCGGACGCCCTCTCCCCCGCCCCCGATGTATGGAGAGGAAGATTGCGGTTGCACAGAGATTTGCTCATTTAGAAACACAGGTCCGGGGATTTTTTGTTGTTTCCCTCTTTCAACAAACATTCCCGGAGGAGGGTGGGGGGGAAGGGAAGCAGGGGAAGAAAATGGGTTAAAGTCTTGAGGGATAACACAGATGTTTGAGGAGCAACTAGAATGCTTACCTGCTGCTAGAGGAGCCGAACATGAGAAAGACACGTGGGAGAGCAGGTTCTCGGGAAGTAAAAGAGTTCCTTCTCAATCCCAAATGCCACGTCTAGGTTTTTTCCCAAGAGAAATAAAAACTTGTGCGCACAAAGGCATGCATGTTGAGCCCCGCAGGGAGAAACCGCAGAAGTCAACCTCCAGGTGAATGGACAAACATCCTGCGGTATGCCCAAATAATGGAATATTATTCCACAATGAAAAGGAGCGGCGGGCATGCCAGGTTACAGAAGGATCGAGCAGATTTTAAGAGTAGGAAAATAGGTCAGACACAGGAGGCTGTGTGCTGTGCCACTCCACTTGTAGCGATTCTGGAGCGGGCAAGCTATTCTAAATGGACAGAGTAAGAGAGGGATCCATAAAGGACTTTTTGGGAAGAAATGAAAGCTTACCACATGTTTCTAACTCGGGCAAACCTCAGAATTGGCTATCTAAAATGAGTGCCCTTTATTGTCACTACAGTATATCTCCAAGTTTTAAAAAATAAACAGCAAATGAAAAAATATTTTTATTTTTTCAAAAACACATGATTTTTTCGTAAGTTTTATTGTTCCCTGTTCACTGCCCCTAGTGTCCCCAGGGCAATGTTTATATTAAAAAAAATCAGCCAAAAGATTACCACATATCTGATGGAGACATTTGCTACTAAAATATTTCAATGCATTCAAAATATATGTGTTGCTCATCAACCATATACCAGGCCCTATTGTAGTCACCACAAATTGCTTGATGACCAAGGCCCCCAACTCTTGCTCTCTTTGGAGACAAATTGCTACAAGGAATTTCACTTTTGACTGGCTTATTTCTTTCTGTTGCCTAAACCAAAGCTGACTGTGGTGCCTCTGTGGTGCCTGCAGCTGGCGGCTGTGGCTTGCTAGTTACAAGGCACATGGAACACAGCAGTTCCATTCTTCCGCTGAGCTTCTTTGTTTTAGAGAACTCGACATTTGCTTCCAGGATTCCAGGTCTTCATGAAACTACCTTCACAGATGACTCTACCGGATCAACTAGCCCTGAGCGTCCCTTTCTTTAGTCTCTTTCTTACCTACTTTCATGAGCATTGGCCATCTAGGTTTTGCCTGTCAAAGTGGCTAGGGAGGCACAAGCAGGGTAGGGCTGTGCTCACTATAAAAGGGAATTTAGAGGGTGAGATGACAGATTGGCTTCTTGTCTCAATGCTGTCTATTCCTTTCCCCACCCTGTGCCACATGTTCTGCCTTGTGACCAGGTAATTTTCAATTAGGCACACCGTGGATTGTTGATGGTGAGCAATGTGCATTGCTTCGGCCAATGGGATGTGTGATGATGTCATCTAGGCAAAGCCTTGGGATGTGCTCAAGAGGTTAGGCCTGCCCTTTGGTTTTGTCATCATTGCCTCATAGAGGCCACAATCCAAGGAGACACGAGGCAGATCTAGGCCCAACCTGAGCCTTGGAACAAAGGCCAGGGGGCAATCATGTCGGACCTGCTGGAACCCAAACCTACAGATCCTGACCATGTCAATAAAGTGTCCTCGTTGAAAGCCCTTGAGTTGTGGTCATTTTTCATGTATGATCATGCTAAGTGAATGGCTGAGGATCTCACCAGGTGTTTTTGATCCTTCCCACCTGTTGCAGCGAATGTAAAAAAGAAAGGGAAGCTGCACAATTTTGAACAGCATTTGTCTCCAAGACAAACATGACATCATTTCTCTGCCAGCCAGGAGATGCATCCTGCTGCAAGAGAACTGCAGGATGAATTTCTCTAACACATAGGATGAGGCCTGGGGCAGCTTGGTTCAGCTCTCTCATTGTCCATACTTTTGGCTGACAACACAAGACAGAAATGTTTTTAAACTGTGGGGACTTCTGCCATTTGAAGAAGTAAGAACATCCAGAATCGTGTGAGCAAGGCCTGTGATCCGTCAACTTCAGTGCTCTGCTCTGTTTTGGGACAATAGGCAGGTCTGTGTTTTGTGAGAACACAAAATTACCGTCTGGAATGTCAGCTCCTGAGAACTGGCAAAGCTAAACTTTATTGAGATCTCACTGGAAGCCAGAGCAGTAATCTAAGCACTTGCCAGATACTCAGAAACACCCTTATAATTCAACTGCACTCTCCATTCTTTTTCCATAGGCAAATCTTGATTTAGTTCCGATGGCAGCTGTGAGTAGGGAAGATGACTTTTCCTCTTTGCAGGGAGTGAACTATGATTGATCTAAATCCATTGTAGTCATTTCATTCTCCCTTTGAGTCATGATGGCTTGGCAGTTACATAACAGGGGACCAGAGTAGAGAGATGCAGAGAGCCTAATCCTTCCTGAGACCCTTCACCTTTTGAACCATCTCTAGACATCCTGAAAATTAAATAAATGCCTTAGTGTTATTCTCAGATGATCTGATGGACATTGTTATTGTCATCCCCAGCTTATTTATTACAAAGCTGAAGTATAGAAAGAAAAATTATCCCCTCAAGATAATACAATCTGGAGCTGAGGATCTTGATTCTGAACCATCATTGAACGCACAACAGTTTCACCTTGCTTCTTAACCACAACGAAATATGCATGTTTCAAATTTTTCCAGAAAGTAAATCGTGACAGGTAGACCAGTCCCTTTTTTGTCCAGAGTTCACTTTAGATCTGCTAGAGTGGGAAGGACAGGTGTTCTGATTGGATGACACACACTTCCTGACAGCCGGTTCTACGGATGACTAGTGGTAAGTTGGCAAAGTGTCTGATTGCTTCTGAAATATGATAGCCTGATATGTAAATGAAGAACCACTAATAATGAAAACTGACTACATACCATGTTTTCTCCCAAAGAATCATACTACTATTTTGTTCATCTTCACATTAATTTTTTTTACATTTTTATTTTGAATTTTTGAATTATGTGGTACAATTTCATATAGACTGGTATTCCCCCCAAACTCCCACCCCCCCCCGACAGATTTTCCCCATTTGCTACAATAGCATAGTCCTTCTTAAGGAACCATAATCCCATCAATTTGTTATTTAAGTGTACCCCGACATTGTTGGTACAGACAATATCAAACAGTCCAGCATCCCATTGTCTACACATATCCAGCAGTTTCATTGGGAATCCATCTTTCGTCTGGAAGATGGATTCCCATCTTCACATTAATTCTACTGAGCTGCTATTGCCATTTCCACTTGATAGTTAAGGAAATTGAGTCAGAAAATGTGAAGATGATTGCCCAAAGATTTCCAGCTAGTAAGTGGAAAAACCATAACTCAAGAATAAGAAATGTGACCATAGAGTTAACCATCACACTAAGCTGTCTTGAATAGTCACTGTAAAGATCAAATGTAACCGTGTTATAGAAGTCCTGGCCACATGGTTGGTGTTGATAGGAGTTACACTTACACGTATTCCAGAACGGTACCCTATTGCTTTTATGTGCTCTAGATAACTCTTTCAAAGACAGCATCACCATCTGTGGCTGTGACTTAATCAACTTTTTTTGCTTGCATTAAACCTATAAAACTTCAATTATATCCATTTTCCTCTCTAATCTTCTAACATTTAAAAGCTCTTTTCCATCATGAATAAATGACCCCAGATTGCATATTAGCAATCACAGATCCTCCATTTTTTGATGTCAGAATAAATTGTATCAGCTATGTAATAGCCAATGTGGACTCCAGCAAATGGTCTTTAACATAGAAGATTCTCCCCTGGGGCCAGCTGCCACCACTCCTCCCATGACAGGCTGGGACAGAGCTGCCCACTACAGTGACCTGGGGACCCAGGGTGGAGCCTGGCCGAGCTCCTGAGGCCCTGGAGAGCTCTAGGGAAGAAGGCCGCTCTGATGACTGCTGCACCTGCCCAAGACTGCCGTATGCATAAGAAACACACTTACAGGAAGGATGAGCTAAGAACTAAATGTCATTGGCATCAAGATTATTGTTACATTTCGCATGAATGCAAGAGATAATTAGTCTTACACATCATGGATAGTAAATAATAAAATGCATCATTATGAAATTGCCAATATCTGACTCCATGAGTTTTGTTATCAAGTAAAATTCTTGAGATGGGCAGAGATCTAGAAAAAGATATCTTAACATTGTTACTAACACATGGAAAATAACTGCACTTCCCCCTTCTACAGACTCTCACTTAAACCCTTTCATGACAGTGCAATAGATTCCCCTAATTAATCTCGCACAAA